AATAATAATAATAATAATAATAATAAGCTAAAGTTTCAACATAATTGTTTAGCAGGAAACAAGACTATGGAAGGGATTGACGTGAAAGTTGGGACATGGGAAGATAAAAGGTTTTAATTCATAAGGTTAAAATATGTCATTACCTTAAAATAATAAGGGTAAATATGGAAAAAAAGTTAGGAAGCTAGGAGCTTATTTTGAAATGCTACCTAAAGTAGCGTTCCAAAATAAGCTCTTATTTTAAGCTAGGAGCTTATTTTGGGAACATTACCAAACAGAGCTTATAGCTTATTAGTAGCTTAAAATAAGCTATAAGCTCCTAGCTTAGCGTTGCCAAACAGAGCCTTTATAGTTCCCATAATCCTTTCTAGTTGCCAAAATACTCAAGGCAAAATACTACCCAAACAACAATTTCTTGAAGCCAATAATAGTAACAATTCCTCATTCATCTGGTTTAATCTGTTTGAGAAGCATACGATTATCAAGAGACAAAGCCGTTGGAGAGTGGGTGACAGCAAAGCCATCAATATATCTACAAAGACAAATGGTTACCCGGCATGAAAATGCTATGGTTTCAACTTTCCCTAACCTTTACCTAGTGGATCAAAGGCCAAAGTTGTTGCTATTATGAAGACCTAGGGAAAAAGTCGTGATAAAAGATTCTGAGATATCTTCAACCTTAGAGATGCAGAGCTTATTATGAGTATCCGATCCCTAAGAGTAAAAGAAGTCCTAATGAGTGAAGAAGATGTCAACAAAACGTTGCTATCTGGAATCTCAGGGTGTCCCCTAAAGGTTAAAACTTTCATGTGACAAGCTTGTGTTTTTCTCTCCCCATTGCAGATCTCCTTTGTATGAAGAAAGTAGATTGCCCAAGATTATGCTAAACCTACTTTCATGATGACTAGACCATTTTCCATACATTGGTTCTTTGCAATTTTGCTAGAGAATGTTGATCATACTTTGATGCACATTTGAGCGTGAGCAGTAATCATGTTTTTGCAGATTGGGTGGGCTTGAACATGCATATAGAGTTATAATGTGCAGTTGGAGTCTAATGCTCTCCGTGGTCCAAAGTTTTAACAACACAGTTGAATTATCTTCTTTTGATATTATTCTTCTTGATATTAGTGATATGTTAGCACATTTTTAGTAATGTGGTTTATCTCTTTTCTTAAGTGAAAACGGAATTGCTTATCAAGTGATCATGTGATTGATTATTACTCTGACAACCATAATCAGTTTCATGTTGTATAATTATAAATGGAAAAAATAAAAATAAAAAGCTAAATAGTACATATGTACTGTATAGGCTCTTTTCACACGAGTGTGAGAGAGGAACACTTGCCAAACTCTTTGAAAACATCTCCATTGTCAAATATGAGGCCATGTAAAAAAAAAAAAAAAAAAAAAGGAGTTATCTCCTCTCAACTACAATATTTATATATATATACTAAAAACCCACAACCACTAACCAATAAAAAATTACAAGGAGATAAACCAGTGTAATTTTACTCATAGTTGACTGGCTCAAAAAAAAATTACAAGAAAGTAAACCAGTTTAGATTTACTCATAGTTGGCTGGCTAAAAAAGATTACAAGAAGGTAAACCAGTCTAGATTTACTCATAGTTAGCTAGCTCAAAAAAATTACAAGAAGGCAAATTGATCTAATTTACTCGTAGTTGACAAACTCAAACTAAGAAAGCCAATGCTACCCATAATTGACCGACTCAAATAAAATCAAATCTATAACCTTGTAATTACCAAATCAAAGTATTTGTTTGAAGATTCAACATTCATAACACTACTTCTATAGTTCTATAAACTTAAATTAATGCCACAACTTTTCTCCCTTTCTCTCTTTGGCCATGTATAACATCACCTCATATAGGAGTTCATTTCAAGAATTTGAACAAAATTTAAGCATAAATTTGTTTACACTATTTATACTACTATATACTTAACTATTGGCAAATGTGGTAATTAATAGCATACTTCAACATTTAATTCACATTCTCATATGTTCAGAAATTAAATTCTCATGAAAAATATCATCTACATAGGATTTCTAGAAAGGGAAGAAGTTCCCAATATTGCAGAATAATGCATAACCTCAACCTTCTTTCACAACTCCTTTTACTCTGTACAATAAACAATTACAGTTTTTCCTTTAGAGGGTATGTAACTATTTCAATTGGCATATGAAAAACCAAAAGCCAATTCGATATGTAAAAAAATCAAAATCAAAATCAAAATAAGAAAAACCTAACACTTTCTAAAATCAGAATATTTCAAAATACTTGGTAGCCGATTAGATATATCCAGACAATTATCAAGCAAACCATAGAAATTGTTGATAACATACAGAATTTAACTATGTAATCGATCAACTTTGGGAACAGACCTAACCCGATGAACAGCAAATCGGCGAAAACAATGAAAAGGCATATCACGGGTTTGTGCGTGAATCTAGCGAACCGCATAAGCAAAAGCAAGAACTAGGCGTTAGATTCACGCACAAACCGAAATATGCCTCTTCTCCATACCACTTCCTCTCATCTCTCTCATCTTCACCCGGTGTTTGAGTTTGATCTTGATTCTTGACTCACCTGGGGTCTGGGGATGAGTCGTCTAAAATAGTGCTAGGGTTGAGCCTTAAAGTGGGAGAATATTCGTGGGCCTGTCGGTGAATTCCGTGAATTCATCAGAATTGAGCCTTCTTTTGGCAAAATTTCGTGGGCCTGTCGGTGAATTCCGTGAATCCATCAGAGTTTGGTTTTTTTTTTTTTTCTTTTTTTTTTTTTCCAAGAAACTAGTAAATTGCACGTGTGATGCACGTCCAATAAATTTATTATTATTACGCAAATTCAATATTTAATTATTGAGCAAATATTAATTTTGGTCCCACGAATATTAATAAAATGACAGTTTTGGTCCACATGTTTAATTCCTACCAATTTTCATCTACGACTATTGTTTTAATACCAATTTTCATCCATAATTATTATTTTAGTGCCAAAATTCATCACACTGGTCATTCCTTCGTTTAAGACATGCCGAAATATGAAAATATTAAGGGTAGTTTCGTGCTTTTCAAATTAGGATCTCCATTTGAGCATGAATATAAGAATTTAAGCCCTAATTTGCTCATTAGGATGAAAAGGAAAACTGCGAATTGAGATCGATCTTAGGGCTTAAATTCATTTATTTATGCTCAAATTGGGATCTTAAGTTGAAAAGGACGAAAATGCCCTTAAGATTTTTAAATTTCGAGATGTCTTAAATAGATGGGTGATCGACGTGATACATTTTGGTACTAAAATTGATGAAATAATCACGAAGCGAGTTTGGAGCGGAGCAATACGGAGCGGGTCGAACCCGGCATCAACAGGCTACCCGCAACGCGTGGCAAACCACCACGGGGTCGGCCCAGCATGGGGTTGGCTCGCCGTCGAGCTGACCGCGACTCCTTCTGTGTACTCCGGGCCAGTAGCTGCCGGGGAGTATAAAAGCACTCCCCGGTGTCCTATTCAATCATCTTCTACTCTCTTACAACACTTGTCTCGTTATTACACGTCCTGAACCTCTGTAATAGCGTCATACATCCAATTAATATAATATTCACACCACTATTACCGTTTTAATCACATATTTCGTTACATTTTACTTATTATATTCGATCATATATTCGTGTTGTATAATCCGGACCTCCGGGTTCATATAGTCCATCAAAAATAATAGTCGTGGATTAAAATTTGTACTAAAGCAATAGTCGTGGATGAAAACTGGTATGAATTAAATATGTGGACCAAAATCGTCATTTTGCTAATACTCGTGAGACTAAATTTGGTATTTGCTCTTCAATTATATATGCATGAACAATTCTAATATTATAATAAAAATACTACTACTACTACTACCACTACTACTACTACTAATAATAATAATAATAATAATTGTTTTAAAAAATAAAAATATAATTAAATTAATCTTATTAACTACTTGGGAGATTTATTGACAAAAAAGATTATTCAAATCACACACCAAATTGAAGTAGGAATGTCCTTGTTTGGCAAATAGCAGTTAGCTCTTCAATATTAGTATATATTTAATATTTTATGCCCTAATTTTTATTTGCTCTCCTTTATGTCCCGTATTTGGTTTCAACTATACATATGCAATTATTTTATTGACAATTATAATCAATCTTGACTATATTATCTTGCATTTGTAAACTTAAAATTGTCTATTTAAATACGCAAATTTAACATTCAATTATCTATGCATACACAATTTCAATATAATCTTGTATTAATATACTTTAAAGTACTTATTTAAAAATAAAAAATGAAACATTAGGCATTATCTCAATCGCGCAATAAATATAAACTAGTTCAGTATATAAATTATATATTTTGACTCAAATCCATCTAATTGTGTATTTTGACTCAGGAGGTGGACTCTACCCAATTCCATTGCATAACTATTGAATTACGATACACACAATTATTTACCCATAGATCATGGTCCACCTAATAAGCATTGACAAATTATGCATGGAAACGTGTTCACCGTGAATGATGAACACAAGGCCAAATGACGTCGTTTTTAGGTAAAAAAATAAAATTCGTGGATGTGGAGTTAACGGCGTGCGTTGATCAAATTATGAATTTTCTGTTATGAGATTATGAATTTTCAGAAAATTCATAATCGCATAACAGAAAATTCATAATCGCATAACAGAAAATTCATAATCTGATAACATAAAATTCATAATCTCATGGTTCCAAAGTGAATGTGTAGGCATGATTCCAAAGTGAATGTGCAGGCATGGATTCATAATTTATGAAAGAAAAAAAAGTTAAAAAATAACGGTGTACTAACACCGGTAGAACCGTGTTCACCATTCCATGGCATAACGCTCCATAAGCATTGGATCCGATTTCCATGGCCAGGAGCAGTTGAATGGATCAACTAGATTACAGATGCGCTAGTCAACTTGGGCTGGATTCACACGTTAGGCCCACGAATATTTGGCAGCCCTATTTTAGACGACTCATCCCTGGGCGAGTCAAGATCAAGCTCATCAACTAGAAGAAATTGAGAGGAAGTGGTATGGAGAAGAGGCATATTTCGGTTTTTGCGTGAATCTAACGCCTAGCTATTGCTCTTGCTGTTGCGTATGCGGTTCGTTAGATTCACGCACAAACCCGTAATATGTCTTTTCGTTGTTTTTTCCCCTGCAATTCGGATTTGCTGCTGTTCATCGGGTTAGGTCAGATCCCAAATTGTCTGCTTTTCGAATTGAATTTTGCTTCTTGTGAATAATTGTTGTAGTTTGCTTGATAATTGACGAATATATTTCAGTTTCTGTCCTTTAATTAATCCTTTGCATGCTCAACTCTTGTTTTCATATCATAAATGTGTATAAAATTTTGGAAATATTTATCTTGAATTAATAGCACTATGAATTGGAAATGGAATGAATTTAGTGAGACTGTGCATTCGATGTGCAGTTATACTCGTTCTATATTTATCACTGCCTTTATGTATACCCTAGATCTTAGTTAGTAATCTTGAGTGCACCCCTACTTGCAGAGTGGCATGCCGTGTCATTGATGCTCTCCTTTGTAGTTTTTTTTTTGCGACCAAGGCGTTGCCTAGGCGACCAAGGCGTTGCCTAGGCGACCAAGGCGTTGCCTAGGCGACCAAGGCGTTGCCTAGGCGACCAAGGCGTTGCCTAGGCGACCAAGGCGTTGCCTAGGCGACCAAGGCGTTGCCTAGGCGACCAAGGCGTTGCCTAGGCGACCATGATTATATACATAAGCATTCCAGAATTTTCTTATGTTTTTTTGATTTTTGGCTCCAATTGAAGCTTTACAATGGCAGATGAACTAGATCTGCTTTGAATCCATTGGAAATGATCTGTGAATGAAGGTACGAACTATCCACTATCTGTTTTGAGTTTGAGGTTATGCATTATTCTGCATTCTTGCTGTGAACTTAAGCTTCTTCCCTTTCTAAAACTATACAGATGACATTTTGCTTGAGAATTTAATTTTTTAACATATGAACAAAGGATTTAAATGTTTATTCCTGCTGCTCTTTGGCAAGACTCTGGAATATATTCAGCTCCAATTGATGTAACAGTATTTCTGAGGCCTAGTTATGATGATGAGAAATAATATCAATCATTTCTTCTAAATGAAAAGATGAATGTAAATTTTAGCATTTATTTGAATGAGTAATAAATAAGGATTTACCTATATTTCACACGTCAGAGTGATGACGTGACCAGCATACTGATTTCATTCACCTGAATCCTTTGTTATCTATGCCTCTGCCTCTGTTAATTTCTTAATTATAAAGATTTTCTACCTGCAGCACTGAGTAAATCATTTTCCATTATTTCTACAGTAGGCCTTGTGTGATCAGGCTTATTTCATTTTTTAATGCTTAGTACTAGTCGTTCTGTGTTTCTTTTCTAAGTGCAATCTGAAAGTTAAGATTAGGAAAGAACAACAATTTCATCAAGTAATTCATATTACAAGTTGACCCGACAAACCTTCTCTGGCCTCTAGCATCTAAGTTTGCACATTATTCCTGTTTTTATAATGATCTAACTCATCTATATGGTTTTGGGGAAAGATGTTGCTCAGATCTTTGTCTGAACTGTAATATCTGAGTTCGGGTCTTTAAAACTAAGATGTCTTAGAAGAGTATTGGGATTTCTTTCTAGCAGTGTCATGTTGTACTCTGTTTATTGAACATCTTGCTTCATCTTAGGATAGATATTTAATTTATTTGACTTTACAATGAAAAGCATGTATTTTTGAGACATTGTAATTTTCTAAATTTGATAAATTATCAATGCCTCTATAATATGATTGATAATTGAATATAGATTTTTTGTTGTTTTGATTATCTCCCGAAGTAGGAGCCTTATTTATTGTAGGTGCAACTGCAATCTTTAATGGCTGCCATGAGCCAACAGAGCCTCAATACTTCAGATGTGTGAAACCAAAGAATGCCACCAAACCTTCTATTTCTGAAAAAAAATCATCAACTACAGTGCAGTGTGAGTAACTGAGTATTGTTTGGGAAACTCTTATCCTTGTGTGATGGTTTTTCTAAAACAAGGTTTTAACTTCTAAAAATAGTTTATATTTGATTTCAGCATATATCTAATGCCCAATTTTTCATCATTTGAAGACAAATTCTGAGGACTCTAATTTTGTGCAAATTTGGACATATTTTTAGTTTTAAGCTAAATTGTTTTCTTTATACTTATCTTCTTAAACATACAGATGGTTTTGGCAATATACTTCGTATCATTTTGGTGGTGCTATACGGAGTACATAAGTGTGTGGACTACGATCCACGCAATAATAATTGCTTGGCGGCCGCTTAGGTCAATTTCTACAATATTGTTTTTATGCTAATTGCCTGCCTTGAACAACTTCTTCCAATTGATGATTAGGTTCTAAGATTTGTTACCCTCGATGGATTATAGACATCAAAACGGGCTTAGTCCGTCGGACTAGTTTGTCATGCCTTGCCAAAAGGGCGGGGCGGGGTTAGTCTCACACTCCCCCCCCCCCCCCCCCCCCCCTTTTATTTTATTTTTTTTTGTTGTTGTTGAATTTAAAATGAATACTGATTATTATTGTTATTAGAAGCGCATTGCCCAGCCCTAATTTCCCTATTCTGTTGTTTCTTCATTCTCAAACTCTCCCTCTGTTGCGGCCACCTACTTGCCAACCACCTTCGGTTCACTATTTTTCTCGTCCCCTGTCACAGTAGACAACAGGTCAATAATTCAGGCGGACAGCAGATACCACTCCAAGTCTCCGACTAGCCGACAACAGTCCAGGCGTCCAACATCAACATTCAACAACATTCAACAACAACCAGATAATTTATTTTCTTACCCTTTAATTTAATTAATTTTATTTAATTGTTGATTTTTTATTTGGTTAGTGTATATATGCTTTACATAATTTACATATTACAGTGTATAGAGATGTTGAAGTAGTATTTAGTACATATATTATTGTGTGTATATCAGATTAATATGTTGACATATTTTATATGTAATAATCAAGTATATATTCTACTGTCAGTGTATGCTCGTGATGAATTCTGTGTTTTTGAACCAAACTATTGTAAACCAAACTACTAATACCATTGCCGATGATGGAATGCTAGGATTGGATAATACTTTAAACAAAGGTACGTCCTAAAGAACTTATGTGTGAATTTTTTTTTTACAAAGGTTGGAGTTGGTGAAGATGGCCGGTATTCAAAGAGTAAAATGCAATGGTTGTTTAAAGAATTTAAATTTGGAGGAAAACTATATAGAACTTTTACATTAAGGAGACACAAAGGCATGTAGAATGTTAAAAGTATCATGATTTTTTTTAGTATAAAAAGTATCATGATCTTAGGCAAATGTTTGTTAATAATGAAGACAAACTTGCATCTAGGAAAGTAGATCCAAATGTCGCAAAGGTGTTTCATTTATTGAATATGATGTTATTAGAAAATGGTAGAAAGTATTTGAATCTTGATGTGCCTTGTATCTCTAGATACACACTTGTGTCTGGCATTACCAAACTCTACTTTTAAGAAAAAGATATGTTAATTCAAAAAAAAAAAAAAAAGAAAGATATGTTCAAACAGGTTCACAAATATCAAAAATATAATTTTTTTAACTTTTGATGTATGGATTGCATGCACTAGTGAGAGATATATTTGGTTAGCACTTTGTTGATGGAGTTAGAAGTTTAATAATAAGATACTTTGCTTTGTTAAGATGCCCCCACCACACACAAGAGTTGAATTAGCTGCAAAAATATATGAATTTTTTAAAGAATGGAGAATTGAAAAAATGTGTTCTCTTTGATATTAGATAATGCATCTTGTAATGATATTATGCAAGACATTTTAAAGGAACAATTAGCTTTGAATGATAGTTTGTGTGTGATGGAGAGTTTATCTACATTTGTTGTTCGGTCCATATATTAAACCTCATTCTTCAAGAGGGGTTGAAAGTGGCTAATCTAGCTTTGCATAAAATTAGAGGGTCCGTCAAATATGTGAAAGATTCTTTGGGTAGGATGAAGAAGTTTGAAGAATGTATAAGCGCAGTTGGTAACATTGATACTAGTATTGGTTTGAGATTGAATGTGGTTAGTAAGTAGAACTCCACATATTTAATGTTGGATAATGCTATTAACAATGTTGGAAGTCCACCTTTTGTTTGTACTTAATAGCACTATCCAACATTAAATATGTGGAGTTCCACCTAGTAACCACATCCAATCTCAAAAAAGATACTAGTATCAATGCTATCAACTGCACTTATACATTCTTCAAACTTCTTCATCCTACCCTCAAAACCTTTCACGTATTTGACGGACTCTCTAATTTTATGCGAAACTGAATTAACCACTTTCAACCCCTCTAGAACAATGAGATTTAATATATGGGCTGAACAACGAATGAAAAAATACTCTCCATCACACAACAAACTATCATTCAAAGCTAATTGTTCCTTTAAAATGTTTTGCATAGTATCATTACAAGATGCATTATCAAATGTCAAAAGGTACACATTTCTTTCAATTTCCCATCCTTTCAAAAATTTATATATTTTTGCAGCTAATTCAACTCTTGTGTGTGGTGGGGGCATCTTTAGCAAAACAAAGTATCTTATTATTCAATTTCCAATTCCCATTAACAAAGTGCTAGGTTAAGCAAATATATCCCTCACTAGTGCATGCAGTCTATACATCAGAAGTTAAACAAATTCTATTTTTGATATTTGCCAACACTTGTTTGAACATATCTTTTTCTTGAAAGTAGAGTTTGGTAATGTAGACACAAGTGTGTTTCTAGAGATACAAGACACTAATACCATCATATTCAACAAATGAAAATGGTAAACCATGTTTGATGACTGTAGAAGCTAACAACTCCCTTGCAACATTTTGATATACTTATCCCAAAATGGCTGAATCCCCACCAACCCTAAGGGCTCCCCACACTCCAACCCGACAAAGCATGTGGGAGGATGTAAATCACGGTGACTCAATGGGTTAGTAGATATGAACATTTTGATATACTTTTCTAGATGCAAGTTTGCCTTCATTATTAACAAACATTTGCCTAAGATCATGATACTTTAACATTTTACATATGTCTGTGTCTCCTTAATGTAGAAGTTCCATATTGTTTTCCCCTAGATTTAAATAGTTTTAAACAACCATTGCATTTTACCCTTTGAATACCGGCCATCTTCACCAACTCCAACTTTTGTAAAAAAAAATCCACTCATAAGAGGTAAATTCTTTAGACTTACCTTTGTTTGAAGTACTATCCAATCCTGGCATTCCATCATCGACAATGATATTAATATTTGATTACTTACACAGACACAGAATTCAAACACTGACAGTAAAATATATACTTGATTATTACATATAAAATATGTTAAACATATTAATATGATATACACACAATAATATATGTACTAAATACTAGTTCATTTAGCTGAAGCATTTGCAGTGAAGGAGGCATTGTCATGGGTTAAAGAGAAGGGTATCATGCAAGCTACGGTTTATTCGGATTGTCAGAATATTTGTAATTTGCTTAAGGCTTCTCTACCAGATCATACGTATGCAGGATGTGTTCTCGCGGAGTGCTGATTTCTTCAACGACACTTTATTAATGTGTCTATTCAGTTTATCTCTAGATCAGTGAATAAAGTTGCATATGCTTTAGCTAGGGCGGCTCGTTCTCAAACTGGTCCCATTGTTTGGACTTCTTCTATTTCGAGTTGTATCGAACATTTGATTTAATGCTGTGCTATTATTGGTTTTCAAAAAAAAAAAATACTAATTTAACATTTCATCTATAACTATAATCTATAATTAGGACATTCTCCGCACCAGAATTCATCTCTATTTTTTTGGAGAAAGTATATAGCAGGCATTAAAGAAGATTTACAATAGAGTAGCCGATCGCCTTGCTTCGGCCGCTTTGGACCATGATATTGGGACTAGGATTCTTGAGTGCCAACCTGTGTATGTCGAGGACTTGCTTTGGGAGGATATAGTTGGCTCCCGAGTTATTCGTGGGGCAACCCTCAGAATGTTAACTAGTCTAACCCCGGGTTTTGTCCCTTTCTTTGTTCAAAAAAAAAAAAATGAAGAAGAAGATTTACAATGAAATTTACAAATATTCTTAAATTAGTCCAAGGAATCAAATCTAAGATGTTGGCCCTGTTTGGTAAATGGCTGTTAGCTGATTGGGTTAATTAAAGAATGTTAGCTGATAACCGTTTGCTATAATTTCTTTTCTTGAAAAGCTAATTGAAAAAGTTGTTTTGAGCAGTTGTTTAAATTTTAGCATTTTAAGAGTTACAAAAAGCTAATTAATCAAACGATGAGAACTGATTGTATTATATTTTCTGAACTTGATTACAATGAGATCAGATGATGTGAATATATAGAATAGAGAGTCACAGTGTGACAATGAAAAGTAGAGAGTCACAGTGTGACAAGGATAAGAAGTTCTAAACAGACTCATATACATAGAGTCCTAATACTCCCCCTCAAGCACAGTGTATACTAGTAACCTGTAGCTTGTCCCTTAAGGAAGAAAATCTAGGTCCAGGCAGAGCTTTGGTGAAGATATCAGCAAGTTGATCCTTTGTGGAGATGAAGTTGACTTGGATATCGCCCGAAGCTACTCGATCACGAACAAAATGATAATCAATCTCCACATGCGCGGGCATGAAAGATTGGATTGACACTCATATATGTAGCTCCTAGATTATCACACCATAATTTTGGAATGGAAATACCCGGAATCTGTATCTCACGCAATAATGACATAATCCATAGAACCTCAGCACAAACATCTGCAAGAGCTTTGTATTCAGCCTCATTGGATGACCTGGCAACAGTTCTCTGTTTCTTACAAACCCATGATATAAGATTACTCCCCAAGAAAACAGCAAAACCAATCCTGGATTTTCGATCGTCAGGACAACCAGCCCAATTAGAATCAGAGAAAGCATGAATGTCTCTAGATGAGCACCGTCGTATGCGTAAACCATGATCAACTGTTCCCTTAACATACATGAGTACCCGTTTGAGCTGCTCCCAGTGTGATATGGTGGGAGCATGCATATGCTGGCATAACTGATTAACTGCAAAGGATAGGTCAGGTCGTGTGACAGTGAGATATTGCAGTGCTCCAGCTAAACTCCTGTACTGTGTGGGATCATCATATAGATCTGAATTGAAGGGGACAGTTTTCGAGACAGAGATAGGTGTAGAAAGGGGTTTGCATTCAGACATTCCAGCCCGTTTTAAAATATCATTCATATACCGTTGTTGAGATAAAATAATCCCATTGTCACTCTTAACTGTTTCAATACCCAGAAAAAAATTTGGTTCACCAAGATCTCTGATTTTGAATGTAGCAGACAGTTTGGACAAGAGCTGAGACATAATACCCTGATCACTTCCCATTACAAGAACGTCATCCACGTACACCAATAGATAAACCAAAGCAGAGTCTTTAGAGTAATAGAACAGAGAGACATCTGTCTTGGATGCTTGAAAGCCAACCGATAGTAAGAACGTATGTAGTCGATTAAACCAAGCTCTGGGAGCTTGTTTTAACCCATACAGAGATCTTTTTAACAAACAAACATGATTCGGGAAGTTAGCATCAATATAACCAGGGGGTTGCTTCATATAAACTGTTTCAGCCAGATTACCATTCAGAAAAGCATTATGAACATCTAGCTGTTTGATAGACCACCCAGATGATAAAGCTAGAGATAGAAGGAGTCTTACAATCGTAGGCTTTACCACTGGACTAAAAGTGTCGAAGAAGTCCTGACCTGGAACCTGATTAAAACCTTTCGCAACCAGCCTGGCTTTATGCCTTTCAATAGCACCATCAGCCTTTCTCTTCGTACGAAACACCCATTTACAGCCAATAATATTCATACCTACAGTGGGTGGAACTAGAGACCATGTGTGGTTATGCAGGAGAGCATTGAATTCTTGGTCCATGGCTTCACGCCACTCAGGATATTTAACAGCTTGAGAGTAACATGTGGGTTCCGTGGGATGCACTTGAGCTGCTAGAGCAAAAAGAGAAGCATCTGCGTTGCTGCGAGTGGCCATAGAGTGAGTACGAACATTGGGCCTGATGGACCGCCCACGTGGACGGCCTCGCCGGCGAGCAACAGGCTCCACAGGATCACCCGACGAGGCAGCCTGTCCGGGATCCACGGCTGGTTCGAATGAAGCAGGTAGCGGCGGTTCTGGCAGCTCATCATTGGACACGGCAGGAATAGGTGTGCTGTGACTGAGAACAGATTCCGCCCAAGGTCCAGAAAACGGAGTAGATAGATCCTGTAAAGAAATTTTAGTAGCAAAGGGGAAAACTTCTTCATCAAATCTGACATGCCTGCATGTGTAAATCTTATTAGTATGTAAGTCCATGCATCTGTACCCCCTAAAAGACTCAGGATAACCTAGGAAGACACATGGAGAAGACCTGTATGACATCTTATGACGATTATATGGCCGAAGATGAGGGTAGCATAAACACCCAAAGACACGAAGATAAAGATAGGAAGGAGGAGATTTATGTAACAGAAGATGAGGACTGGAGTTATTTAATACAGAAGATGGCATTCTGTTAATTAAATAGACAGCAGTCTCAAAGGCAAAATCCCAAAATTTCAAAGGAACAGAGGCATGAGATAAATAGGCAAATGATGTTGTTGCAAGGTCGCGGGGACCGAATATTGTATTAGATATCGCTAATAAGCTATTACAATGCTTGATTAGGACAATAGTGAATAGAATATAGTGAACGTGTCTTAACGAGACAAGATGAGAGGCTTTTATACAAGCTATACGCCTTAACCACCCCCTAGAATAGCGGGTCGGTTAGATCCGCGTTGACCGCGCACGGGTCTTGCGTTTGACCGGTTCCCTGGTTGGCCCTATTTCTAGCCGAGCCCGCTTATGGCCGACCCCTTTGGGGTTGGTACCTATCCCAGTCGAGGCCTCATGAGCCGAGGCCTTGGGCCGGACACGGGGCTCAACCTCAGAGGCCCCGGGTTTTGCTCTACCTCCCCGGGTCGGTTTGTTCCAGTTGTAATATATCTATCATATCTCTTGTTAATATGTGTTTGTTCTATCTTATTTGTTATTGCTTAACTTCTTAATAATTTCTTAATGTTAGTACGTATCTAGTTGCTAGTTGTTGCTTAGCTCTTGAGAGAATGCCATTATACACTTACTCCTATCTTGCTACATCACAGTTCATGTATCAATTATATATTTGCAAAGAAATTGATTCAATTAGCTGGCTGACTTGTTTGTCCTTCAATTTATCTTTATATATACTTATATATACATGACAAGGTGCAAAAGATAGATATATATTAGACAATTGAGATAAAGTGGAAAAATATGATGCATTTATCTTCATTTTTCTTTGAACATCCAAAAGTGCATTTATAATTTACATAAAAAAATTCTAATGGAATCAAAATTCTAATTAGACCATTAAATTCACATCACATATTATTACTTGCTCCATCACCTTGGCCTAGCCTAGTACTCTTAAATAGTTAATCCATATATTGTTTGAAAACTAGCCTTTAATAGTTATGTTGACAAAGGTAAAATCTATAATGAATGAGTAACTTCAAAGAGATTTTCAATAATATGTCACTATGCATTTACATAATAGATAAATATAATCATATAAGCTTTTATATCTCTTGACTCATCAACTAGTATTCCAAACAATTCATCATCAAGATCTCCAATGATGATAAGATCAATTGTTTCGTTTGCAATTGCATTGATATTCTTGGGTTGAAATTGTTTATTTGGAAAAGTATAGAATAGATACTAAAGAATCATGAATATTTCACGAAAAATATAAAATAGATACATGTTAATATTGTAATAAAGTAATCAATTACATATATGATATATGTTAATATTGTGTGTTCCTAAAATTCAAATTTTAAATATTTAAAAGGTAAATTGTGAACATTTGGATACACCTTCCAGAGAATAATTTGGTGTATCAGAAGCCATGACAGAAATTAAGAAAACTTCCAACAGGTAACAGAATGAATTGGTGTTCCCTTCCACCCAATAATGAGGCCCTTCCCACTACTATCAAGCGTGCATGAATTTCCATTTCCAAACTGCTTCCCCACCAAATTAGCCTGATACACAGATGACTCACTGAGTTGCATTTCCGCCATTCCAAACCTTGCAAAGTACGCTCTCCACACCTCAATCTTCACGCTTCTAGTGAACCTCTCCTCTCCCTCCGCCGCCACCAGGTTTCTAATACCTTCCCCAAAATGGAGCCCTTCAAGGGTCCTTCTGCAGGGGTCGTCGCGATCCAGGCAATCTTCCAAGCAATCAAAGTAGGCGCCGTAGAAGAAAAGCGCCTCCACGAATCGGTTAATGAACGACGGGGAGTTATGGTTGGCTTCCACTTCCGCCATCACCATCACCGCCGGCCTAAGCCGTCGGATTCCTCTCATTAGACCGTCGAGGCAATCGGGCCGTGCGATCATTGTTCTCAGCACGATGTTCGCCAGCACCGCCACGACTTCCTCATCTTCTACCTGGATTAAATCTTCCCTGAAATCTTTCAGATCTGATAAGAAAACTGTATCGAATCGAAACGGCAGATTCAAGGAGTCTGCGAAGCTCTGTAATCTCTTGCCGCACTCTTCCATCTTCTCCCTCTCCGCCGATCCGATTGCGGTTAACCTAATTCGCTCGATCGGAGAACTGCCGTGCTGTTCTGCTAGAGCTTGCATCAGAATCGTCCACTGAATTCCGCTCCGGATATTGATATCAACCAAGTGGATCTTCCTTGCGTTCTTCACGCGCTCGATGATGGCCTGGATTCCGGCGAATTGGATCACTTGACTGAACGGAAGTCCTTGGTGGCTAGCTAAGGTTGCGGGAGTGCAAGTCAACGCCATACTCTCTCGACGCCTGGCTAACCGTTCTTCGCTCATCCCTCTAAACCTTCCCGTTTCCCTCTCTATCCTCTCCGTTAGGGCTTCGGCGAATTGGAACGCGAGTCTCTGCACCGGAGTGCCGGAATCGGACGCAGTCCACCGGCAGCGAGAGATAAAGCCGGTAGCGAGATGGAATTGCCGGCGGCTCACTTCCTCTCCGGCGGCCAGAAGAAGGTGAACGAGCTCCACGTCTCTGATGTCGTCAACGGAAATTCCGGAGAGAGCGGAGGCGTAAGGATGGAAGAACGCGGAAAATCCGTCGGCCTTTTGGGTGAAGAATTGGATGCACCTTTCTCCGGCGAGCCTCAAAATTTCAGCCACCGACAGTTTACCGCCGGCGACTTCGAGACGATCGGTTTTGCTGGTTAGACGACTGCTCCGATCCTTGAAAAACCTACCGTAACATTTCAAGATCTCGAAAGACGCAGAAGAAAATGGAGTCTCAGGAACTTGAGGATTTGGGGAAGCTAAAGGCATTTGATTTTGATCTTCAATAGGATCTTCAATCCTTTTAGCTCCAGCATAGAGGGAGTCAAAATCATCATCACATTCTTCCATTTCAAACCAATCATTATTATCATCTTTGCTGCTGCTCAGTTCATCATTCACACTTCCTTTACGATGAAGATGACGATCGTGATTGAAAGGAGCGGAGGGGAAGGAGACAGTAGTCATCGTTCTCTACAACTACAACTAATCAACACATTATTATTGTATGTATAACGAACGACAAGATTTATGAAGTTTTTCGTAATGATGTTATTAGCCACATAAAACCGAACAAGCAATATAATGGTTTCTGGATCTAGTCCTTAGGACATCTATTATAATCATTAATTTCCCTGGTATGTATTTTTATAGTAATGTTTTGGGAAAACTTAAGCCAGCAGTCTATGCATGCAAATACATTTTTGAAATTAATTAATGAAATTAACATATATGGACAAGAAGAAAGCACGCAAATATAAAATGACAAAGTAATGACAATCATGGCTGAACACGCAAATAGTTTTTTTTTTTTTTTTTTTTTTAGCTCATGCATAAGCTCGAGCAACTTGTTTTCAAACTGGTTCTCTTACTTGGTTGCAGTTCTTTATTGTATTCAACATTTGTTTTAATGAAACTTTTATTCCTTTCAAAAACAAATAGTTTTTTTTTAAAAAAAAATTATTAAAATTGTACTTTTCATCCCTAAGTTATAGGGTAATTGTATGATTCGTCTCACTGGTTAGTCGTGCTCACCTTTCGTCCATAAGTTCTCGTCCTAACTAAGCTGTAACTGGCGTTGCAAATTTTGAAGAATGAATTGAAATTAGCAACTTCCGTTATAACTCAAGGACGAGAAGTGAACTCAACCAACAAGTAAAGACGAATCTCACAATTACTTTATAATTTAGGGATGAAAAGTGTAATTTTTCCTTAAAAAACTATCATATCAACACCTAACCGGGGGTTTGGTTGAGGGAATTACAATTCCATTCTCACATAATTCCGAGGGCAAGCAAGTTCCTCTGTTTGATTGGACAATTGAAACTCCCTCATTTCGTGGAATTAGAATCCCATAATTAATTTTTTTTTTATTAGTTTGAGGGTTTAATTGCACTTTGGTATATAATTAGAAGGTGTATTTAACTTTATCCCTAAAAAAATATTACTGTACAATTTATATACTTGGGATCGATCTACTCTATATATTTTCATGCGATGACTAAATCAAGAGTAAAAGACATTTTTGGTCCTAGACTTATAGTGGCTTGGACATTTTTTGTCCTCCGTCTATATTTTTGTTAGATAACCGTCTGATCGAGGGGTAATTACGTCAATTTAGGCTATCTCCTTCTATCTATTATATCTATGTGTGTTTTGTTTTCTTCTCGGTCATAATTCGAAGGAGTCGGAGAGTCCAAGTTGCAGTAAAGGCATGGTTGTGGGCAGAACATTTCGTAGTGCAAAACTGCAAATAAATGAGGGTCAGAGTAAAAGCATGGTTGTGGGACCAAAATCGTCCATCTCACAATAAAGAGATAGCCTAAATTGACGTAATTGCCCCTCTCTCATACAGTTATCTAACAGAAATATAGACGGAGGACCAAAAATGTCCTCGCCACAATAACTCTGTTCATAAAATGGCAAAATTTTTTATAAAGAACTAAAATTGTCCAAGCCACTATAAGTCTAGGACCAAAAATGTCTTTTACTCCTAAATCAATGATAAACTATTATATTGAATAAGTTAAAATATGATCACATTGCACTCTTTGTCAACTTACGATGAATATGATGATCGTGATTGAAAGGAGCAATGGGGAAGGAGACAATAGCCATCGTTCTCTACAACTACAACTAATCAACACATTATTGTACGTATAACGAGGAGAACTATATATAAAGTTTAATTTTAGCCACATTACAAATAAAACCAAACAAGCAATGGTTTCTAGTCCCTAGAAGGACATCTATTATAATCATAAATATAATTTCCCTAGCTAGTATATGTGCATTTTATAGTGTAATGTTATGGGAAACTTAAGCCATTCAGATAGATTTAAAAATTAATTAATGAAATTAACATATATGGACAAGAAGAAAGCACACAACTATAAAATGACAAGGTAATGATAGGATCATTGTTGAGCAAATAGGTTGAGAAAGTATGTATGAACAGATACTACATTATAATAGAAGCAGTAGTACTAAAAAAAGGTTTTTTTTTTTTTTTAAATTATCAAACCCGCCTCTAAGTTGAACAATCATTGATGTGTGGACCATATTGTATACTGTAAAATAATGTACATTTAGTACAAAAATAATATATTTTTAGTATATTAAAAATGTATTTTGTATTCAGGGAATGTACATTATTTGTGTACTGAGTGCACATTGATGTTTTGAAAAAAAAAAAAAAGAAAAAAAAAGACTTAAAGTGGAATAACACACATATAAATCTAGGACCAAAAAAGGGTAAAGGATTTAAAACTTAAAACTAAATAGATCAAAATGTCCTTGTATTTAACACTATTTAAATGATTTTATTTATGGACAATAAAAAAATGGTACGGTCATGCCACAATAATACTATGACCTAACAAGAATGTTATGAAAATAAAAAGATTAAAAATAGACTGACAGCTATAAATCTAGGACAAAAATAGAATTCTCAAAACAAAGATTACAACATATGTAAAATGGTGGGTGGAAAACTCCTTTAATTAAAAGAAGTTTCATTATTTTGTAACAAATATGTCATTCTCATCCTTAACATTGATGGAATTTATGTTGCTCTAGGAAGATCATGTTGTTTAATTAATAATTAAAGAGAAAACAAATATCATGTTAATGGTCTTAGCTTGCTCATGAAATGGTGAAGGTTAAGAGGCATTTGGATTATACGTTAGTGCATTTATTTGCTTTTAAAGTTGGTATTGATTCTACCAATTGCAATTAATAGTGTCAATAGCATATATAGTGGTTCGTCACCTGAGTAGGGGGTTACTGAATATTGAAAAATGCTACATGTACTCCCATTTTATACTCTCACATACAAAATATTGATGTAGACACTTGTATTTGGACTCACATGAAAAAAAAAATACACAAAATATTGATGTACACACTTGTATTGGGACTCACATGAAAAAAATAACTTATCAGAATCCGCCACATCAGGGAGTAAAATTTAGTGAGTAAGATTAGAGAGTACACGTTGTAGAACTCCTGAATATTATACTTTGATGTCATGACTAAAGACAACAATTAGTTTTAAGTAAGATATGACAACCAAATAGTCAAAGAACTCTATGGTTAAGCATGCTTGACTCCATCAATTGATATCAGAGCCGATATCATGGTTTCGACCCGTCCTGAATGGGATGTGGTTGTAGGTCGGGCCAAGTCCAATCCCAAGGATGATGGACGCGTAGGCTAAGGACCGAGTTAGATATGCTATGCAATTGAGCTTGGAAGGTTGCGGCAAGTGCGTGCAACCAGATAGCTAAGGTTAAGCATGTTCTGGGTGACCCACTCGGAAAATCATTCCTAAGTAGAACAAATCTTACCATTATCCTATAACTTAGGGATGAAAAGTGTAATTTTAATAATTAAATGAAAAAAAAAAACTATCTGCTCAACTGATTATCATTACTTTGTCATTTTATATTTGCGTGCTTTCTTATTGTCCATATATGTTAATTTCATTAATTAATTTCAAAATGTATTTGCATGCATAGGCTGCTAGCTTAAGTTTTCCCAAAAATAGATGTCCTTCCATGGACTAGAAACCATAGCTTGTTTGGCTTTATGTGGCTAATAACATCATTAAGAAAACTTCATAATTCTCGTCATTATACATACAATGTGTTGTTAGTCGATCGTTGTAGTTGCAGAGAACGATGACTAGTGTCTCCTTCCCCTCCGCTCCTTTCAATCACGATCGTCATCTTCATCGTAAAGGAAGTGTGAATGATGAACTAAACAGCAGCAAAGATGATAATAATGATTGGTTTGAAATGGAAGAATGTGATGATGATTTTGACTCCCTCTTTGCTGGAGCTAAAAAGATCGAACATCTTATTGAAGATCAAAATCAAATGCCTTTAGCTTCCCCAAATAATCCTGAAGTTTCTGAGCCCAAACTACCTCACCAGACGACTCCATTTTCTTCTGCGTCTTTCGAGATCTTGAAATGTTATGGTAGGTTTTTCGAGGATCGGAGCAGTCGTCTAACCAGCGAAACCGATCGTCTGGATGTCGCCGGCGGTAAACTGTCGGTGGCTGAAATTTTGAGGCTCGCCGGAGAAAGGTACATCCAATTCTTCACCCAAAAGGCGGACGGATTTTCCGCGTTCTTCCATCCTTACGCCTCCGCTCTCTCCGGAATTTCCGTTGACGACATCAGAGACGTGGAGCTCGTTCACCTTCTTCTGGCCGCCGGAGAGGAAGTGAGCCGCCGGCAATTCCATCTCGCTACCGGCTTTATCTCTCGCTGCCTGTGGACTGCGTCCGATTCCGGCACTCCGGTGCAGAGACTCGCGTTCCAATTCGCCGAAGCCCTAACGGAGAGGATAGAGAGGGAAACGGGAAGGTTTAGAGGGGTGAACGAGGAACGGTTAGCCAGGTGTCGAGAGAGTATGGCGTTGAGTTGCAATCCCGCAATCTTAGCTAGCCACCAAGGGCTTCCCTTCGGTCAACTGATCCAATTCGCCGGAATCCAGGCCATCATCGAGCGTGTGAAGAACGCAAGGAAGATCCACTTGGTTGATATCAATATCCGGAGCGGAATTCAGTGGACGATTTTGATGCAAGCTCTAGCAGAACAGCACGGCAGTTCTCCGATCGAGCGAATTAGGTTAACCGCAATCGGAGCGGCGGAGAGGGAGAAGATGGAAGAGTGCGGCAAGCGATTGCAGAGCTTCGCAGACTCCTTGAATCTGCCGTTTCGTTTCGATACAGTTTTCTTATCAGATCTGAAAGATTTCAGCGAAGATTTGATCCAGGTAGAAGAGGATGAAGTCGTGGCGGTGCTGGCGAACATCGTGCTGAGAACAATGATCGCACGGCCCGATTGCCTCGACGGTCTAATGAGAGGAATCAAAAGGTTGAGGCCGACGGTGATGGTGGTGGCGGAAGTGGAAGCGAACCATAACTCGCCGTCGTTCATTAACCGATTCGTGGAGGCGCTTTTCTTCTTCGGCGCCTACTTCGATTGCTTGGAGGATTGCCTGGATCGCGAGGACCCGTGCAGAAGGACCATTGAAGGGCTCCATTTTGGGGAAGGGATCAGAAACATGGTGGCGGCGGAGGGAGATGAGAGGTTCACTAGAAACGTGAAGATTGAGGTGTGGAGAGCTTACTTTGCAAGGTTTGGAATGGCGGAAATGCAACTCAGTGAGTCATCTGTGTATCAGGCTAATTTGGTGGGAAAGCAGTTTGGAGATGGAAATTCATGCACGCTTGATAGTAGTGGGAAGGGCCTCATTATTGGGTGGAAGGGAACACCAATGCATTCTGTTACCTGTTGGAAGTTTTCTTAATTAATTTCTGTCCATAGGAAACTGCTATGTGTACTCTAATTTTTCTACTCCTAATTTTTACTTTCACAAAATCTTGATACACACAAAATCTCTAGACATTTGTATTGTAACCCACATGAAAAAAATAGTTTACCAGAACCCATCAGAATAAAATTGAAGAAGTAAGATTTGAGAGTACATGTACTAAAATTTTCATAGATAATATATGGCGACGTTGGAAGTACAATTTTCTTAATTTCTATAAGTCCCCAACACTTGGGCCCAAATATTCCTAATTTTTTTAAACCTGGAAAACCTACCATCTCATGCGCAAATTATTATGTGGACCTGGTTCCAAATGTTTACCATTTACCTTTTAAAAATTCATAATTTGTATACTGCGAACACACAATGTTAACATATATTTACAAATTCCCTTCTACAGTTATTATGTATTTTAACTTAGAAACACAATTTATATTCTAGAAGTTCACAATTCTAATACTAAAAATGCACAATTTAAGACCATGATCCATGGTATAACAACTGCATCTCATTAACCATGCAAGGCCAATAATACACATACCCTAAAAATTGGGGAAACACAATAGTATTCATGCCAAGTGTACGTGTAAAAGCTTGTCGAGATTTATTGGCTCAAGACTCCAAAGTAGCACATATAGAAATTTGCATGCATGTAAAGAGAAATAGTTACATATGAATATGTGATCGATTAATCTATTGTATCTTTCTACTTTTAATATTTTTTTATATAACATTTTCGTTGATATGTTTAAATGATATTAATAACCACTCAAAAATCAAAATTCTCCATTTCTATTCTTAGTAATAAAATTAGTATTAATACATAAGTCTATTGCAAAATTCAAAAGAAAAAATGCAATTGAAAAAATCACACATCTACTTCATGACAAATCTTAAGTCTAGTGCATAAGTCTATTTCATAAAAATTCACAAGACTTGTGGTTCTATTACCAAGAGGAAAAAAGAAAGATTTTGAGTGGTTAATAACGTCATTTTTTATGTCATTTAAACATATTAATTTTTGTTGACAGGAGACCAAAAATGGTCATACCAGAATAATGTTAGGACCAACAAAGATGAAATAGTGAAGATTAAGAAGCATTTGGATTATACATTAGTGTATTTATTTGCTTTTAAAGTTGGTATTGATTCTAACTATTGCAACTAATAGTGTCAATAGTATAGTAGTTCGTCACCTGATGTCATGACTAAAGACAATAATGTAAGAGTTACTGAATATTATACTTTGATTTAGAACAATGCTATTTCCCCATCATGATTTTACCTTCTAATGTTCACCACTTGACATGACGACAGCAACAACAGCACCAAGTGGTCATATAATTTTGCCCTTTACATATATTTAACCTATAAATTTCTCCACTTTATACCCCTGCAATTTGCACAAACTGGGAAAAAACAAATGAAATAATTGTAGTTGATGTGAGGAAAAACAATAGAGTTTCAATCAATAGATCTCTTCTTATGCATTAGTTGCATATGATAATACAACATTTCATTCCAAGTATCAGGGACCCCGGGCAGACACCAATGGCTGCAATCTTGGACACCAGAACTACCCGGTTTTCTTCCATATATAGATGGGTGACCATCTATCCTATAATCTGATAAACCAGTTATGTTTAGGATGGTTACTGGCGTTTTCATCTTCTGTACAATCTGCTCAACGATCATATTCTTCTCGGGATAACTGGTGCTCAAAGTGTCGTTAAGGGGTCGAGAAGCTTCTCTGCAATGACCCCCAGTGTTCCATTGACCCCCACTGTATATATAATCACAGCAAAACGTGGTTAGGCACGAGGAGAACGCATTAGTCTTTGACAATATTGCGAGGATATTAGGCAGACCTGAAATGAGAGGGTGCAGAACTTCTAAAGAAAACGCGGGTTTTCCTGGGATTGATGTATCTTTCAACCCAGGATGCCCAAGTCATCAAAGCTTTTCGGAATGCTGTTGAGCCATCAAGACGAGGGTGAACTCGATCCCCTTCCTGATAGTAATTGATCCTGTTTTGGGCTATAAATAGTTATTAGGTGTAATAGAAGAGAGTATTACAGAAACATTGTGTCCTTCAATTAAGAATGGCGAAAGTCGCATCAAAACACTCAGAAAGAACACTATTATGAACTAGCATTGTGCAACAAAAGTACCATAACATGGCTCATTCAAGATTCAATGCTATACAGTCTCAGATACCATTTGTTAGAATCAAACGCTTACGTCAGAAGCTATAACTTGCAACGAAAGAGCAACTTTATTTCCTTATTCACCGCCACATTTTCGAGAGGCAGAGTGCTATGCTGGACTTGGCCCTTCAGACCTTCGCCCAACAGTCCTCTAGCCACCAATTGCTGGACTTGGCCCTTCACCGGCCTTTGCCCAACAATTTAGACGATTGTGTCTAAAACTAAACATCTTCGTTGCAATCAATACTTTATAACAACACAAATCTGCAAACTATAAACATTCCCCCTAGAAATATGCCAATTAATAAGTTCTCACAACACTCACCCTGCTTTTGTTTTGTGGTGTGACCACCAATGAGCAGTGTTGAAGACCAGAATATCAGCACCTCTCCATCTAGATGACCCTTTGTCGACAGCATCAATTCGCAAGGTCTGCACCCGTTTCTTGCCTACCCTCGCCTTACTCTCATGAACCAAGAAATGCGTCACATAAAACTCGACAGTGCATTCATAGTCCTACAGTTTTAGCCTCAATAATCAGAAACAAACTCCATACCACATTGCAAAGCATTAAGCAATTGAGTTTAACATTTGGCAGAGATTTCACATAGTTACCGCGAATTTGAAGCTATAATTCCCCTTCCCTTTAGTTATCCTCCTCCCTCGAGTTTCATAAACCTTGCTTGGGTCTTTGATGGCTCCCATCAACAAGCACAACATGGATTCCCACTGGTTCCTCCCTATTGAATCCCCAACAAATACTAATCTTTTCCTTCTAATCAACTCCAGCATATTTGTTGCATTAAACCTAAACCATGAAACCAATACAAAATTTGTGTTCTCTTAGGCTAAAACATTAATTTGAATAATAAATAAATTCTTTAAAGAAATGCTGTTTCCTGCATCCAAATAGAAGGACAAGAAGAAAGCCTGGTGGATTGTTGACAAGGACACAAAATCGAGCATGATAGTGACCATGTGGGAGTTAAACAAGGACACAGGATCAAGCCCGGCAATGTAAGAGTTGCACAAGGACACAGGATCAAGCCTGCAATGTGAGAGTTACACCTAATGTGGCGGGCACTAAGCACGGGTCTTCCCACCTAATGGGACCCGAGTTACCTGATTTACCCTTCTACTGTCCGGTCAAGATACTAGGATCGGAATGTGGAGAACTCGCAATGTGAGAATTACACCTAATGTGGTGGGCACTAGGCACTGGGAACTATTCTTCCCACCTAATGGGACCCGAGTTACCTGATTTACCCTTTTACTGTCCGGTCGAGATACTAGGATCAGAATGTGTAGAACTCACAACGTGAGAGTTACACTTAATGTGATGGGCACTAGGCACTAGGCACTAGTCATCCCACCTAATGGGACCCGAGTTACCTGATTTACCCTTCTACTGTCCAATCGAGATACTAGGATCAAGATGTGGACCTGGGATAGAGATAATTTCGCTTTTGTGGACAAGCAGGAAGAAATGAAGCCTTGACTTATTACCTGGGAATGTCACAATCTCGAGGCTGCCACCTCCACTTGGGGTAGTCCTTATCCAATCTTCCATTAGCTTCACAGCTGAAACCTTCATCAATAAAAGGGCAAGAAGAATGGGTGTACAAAGGGTAACTCTCATCAAACACCCATTTCCCTTTTGTAACATCACAAGCCCTGCCATTCTTCTTCCCAACATTTTCAGATGAATTTACAGCAAAATCAGATATAATCCCAGATTTTACCAGGTTGGTATCAGTTAAAATCGCTCCATTCCCACTACCAATAGAAGAAAGATTTGCATCAAAGGCAGTAAAATTACCCTTCAATCCATCTGTACTGGAATCCACCTTTCCAACTGCAACTCCATTCTCACTACCCTTCCCTTGAATTTCCACAAAACCAGAAATTTGAGCTGTACCAAAATGGGCACCCACCAAGAACGAGTTTTTGGTGAAACCAGTCAATGCCTGAACACTAAAGGGCTTGAAACCCAAACTGGGCGTGGCGCTACCATTAAACTGAAAATGGGTTTCCAGAGGGAAAGGCGTGAGCTTGAAGACCCAAACGGAGAAGAAGATGAGAAAGATTAGAGAGATAGAGACGGTGGAGGAGAAGATGAAGAGTCTAGTGGGTTTGATAGAGAAACTTCTCTGCTTCTCCATGGCCATGGGGGGTTCTTGCCTTCTTGGTTGCCAAATGCCAACCAATAAAGTTAAGAAACAGGGAACATAGATGGCAACTGAATTTTGCTTATAAAATTTGAAGGAATATATTTTGATGGTAAAGATAAAGATAAAGACAAGAAATCATTAAATGGTGAGACATGGAAGAAGAAGCAGGTACAAGTGACGGTCCGATGAACAGAGCGTTGCTGTTTATCGCAATTATTTTGTATTGAAGAGACGCTGCAGCGGTTTTTCAAGTTTAATTTAGTGGGGAGAGTGGAGTGACGTGGTGGGGGCCATGCGTTTTACAAAAATATTTTGAGATAAAAAGGATAAAATAATCCTCAACTATATGACAAAGTGCAATTAACCTCTTAAATTAACAAAAAATTTTAGACCCTTCATCTTTTCACTTTTATGTAATTAAGTTAATTAAGTGATTACATTTAAGTTATAGGTAACTTTACTTTTAATTTTAAAATGTAATTAAAATAAAAATATATATTTTTAATTTAAATAAATTAATAAATTAAAAAAAAAAGTTCGACAACTGACCTGTTTCTCCGTTCAGTTGAACGGAGAAGCGTGTCATGGCTTCTTTGTCTTCTTTGTCCAATTGGACGAAGAAGCCGGCCTCGCTTCTCCGTCCAACTTTTTAATTTTTTTTTTTTGTAATTTTTTTTTTTTTAAAAAAAAAATCAATTTTACATGCTATTACCTTGTGTTTACTTACAAATTGAGCTAATTGCATAAATTTAAAAATTTATAGACTTAATTGCATATAAGTGAAGAGATGAAAGGCCTAATTGGAGCTTTTGTTAGTTTATAGAACTAATTGCACTTTGGCTTATAGTCGAATGGACCTATTTGACATTTATCCCAAATATTTTTTTATCAAAATACAATTTTTTATTCATGATTTGATTAAAATATAATAGGTAAAAACTTATGTGAAACTTATTCGTGGAGACAGGGCAAACTGTTGAGTGTGTACGTATCATAATTTTAATTATAAGTATTACAATATTTATCATTAATAACAATCAATCTTACTTTTAGGTCATGTTTGGTAAAATAGTTAGTCTATTAGTTAATTTTGACTTATTTGACCAGTATTAGCTGTTTGACTTAGCTAAATAATCAATATAAATATTTGATTAATTAGTTTTTTTGTAACAACTTATTACTCTAAAATGCTAAAATTCAAAAAGCTGCTCAAAGTAACCTTTTTCGATCAGTTTTTTAGAAAGTCATTTTGCATTAATCAACTAACCGCTAACAGCTAATTTACCAAATACAAATCTACAATTAACTAATGATATCAACTAGTCAAACTCACTAACCCAATTAGCTAACAGTCATTTACCAAACACCCCATTGTATCACAATTTCACATATCAGTATTATAGTGTCTATCATAAGTAATGGTTTATTTGTAACTCAAACTGATATAAATTTTTTTTTTATAATTTATTTCACAAATAACATTTCACATATAAGTATTACAATATTTGCATTAAAATTACACTTTTCACGTATCAAAATTTCAATTATAAGTATTACGAAGTACAATATTTATCATTAGTAACAATTATTTGTATCCTAAATAGTATCACAATTTCACATATAAATATTATAATTATCTATTATAAGTAACAGTATATTTATTTCAAATTAGTATTAAATTTTTTATAATAACTATTATTATTACTATTATCATAAGTAACAAGCAACTATCATATATTTGACCTGCCGCACGGATTAAGATCTATGTGACAGTCTCACACAAGTGTAACTTAATATAATATTGAAGAAAGTTGGGTCTGGTTCCCTTGAGAACCATGCCCTATATGAGAACTGGACAAATTCAAACCATTGATCTAATATGTTTAACTATTAAAAATAATGAAAAAAGGGTAATGTTGTTTTCATAAATATTACAACTTTCAAAATTTTAGAATATTTATGAAAATGACTCTACTTCTTTTTTACTTGATTTCTTATCCATCAGATCTTGTAGATCGATGGTTTGGATTTATTTACAGGTTCTCACTTGCGGAGTGGTTCTCATATGACCGGATTCGAAGAAAGTTAATCAATAAAATAATTGTAGATTATCAATCTGATGACTTGTTTGGATAATTTTTTCTTTAAATTTGAGGAATTGAAAAACATATTTTACCTTGTTTAGTTGATGAGAGATTTTTTTTTTTTCATAGAAAATGAATTTTTTAAATTTGAGAAAAATGAAGTTTTTACTTTCTTTTGATATTTTATTTTTGCACATATAAGTGGAAGAAAAGACAGAACATGAATTCTTGTATTATTCATACATATTTAGTCTTTATATTAATTATTTCTGACAATTTATTTTTTACGAACGAAATAATGAAATCAATATTCTAACTTATTTTCTCAATTCTCTTCCACAAATTAAATAAATTGGTAATGATTAGAAATAAAATTGGAATGCAAATGTATGTACTATGGACAGTAATCAATATTCTAACTTATTTTCTCAAGTCTAAGTGACTTTTTATCTTCCCAAAAGGTATTCCCACACTGCCGTTATCGAGGTTCGAACATTGGTTTCATCTCCCAAATACTGCATACTGAACTAGTGAGCTAAACTCGTGCGGGCTAATAACTTTTTATCTATTGTGTAAAAGTGAGGACTCCAAAGTCCAATGTGAACTCAATATTTAGAATTCACGGCTATTAAATAGTGTGCAGTGACCTTTATGAGTTTTTGAATATTGAGTTAATACCCAAAATCGTCCTCGACTATAGTGGTTTTTCTCAATTTCATCCTAAACGACTTTGGTGACCTAATATCGTCCCAGACTTTTGTGTTTCGCTCAATTTAGTCCTCCATTTGTTATTCCGTCAAATTGGTGTTAAATTAAGGGACAATTCAGTAATGTCAATATTGATCTCTCTTTACTTTCAACTTGTGAAGTGCGGAATTCCTTTTTCTTGTACGAATTACACCCAGAATTACTCCCGGACCTGCAAATCAAATTTTATATTCGCAGTTTTAGGAGTAATTCTGGGAGTAATTCGTAAAAAAAAAAAGGATTTCGCAGTTCACATGTCTATGAGTAAAGAGATGCCAATATTAAAATTACTGAATTGTCTATTTATTTAACACCAAATGGACAGAATAACAAATGAGGGACTAAATTGAGTAAAAACACAAAAGTCTAGGACTAAATTGAGCGAAACACAAAAGTCTGGGACGATATTAGGTCACCAAAGTCGTTTAGGACGAAATTGAGAAAAACCACTATAGTCGAGGACGATTTTGGGTATTAACTCTTTGAATATTGGAATACTCCACTATACTTGTTAATATTTGCTAAATCATGAAAAATATATCGACTAATTACTAATATTCTATTAAGAAAATTTTCACTTGTATTTATTGAGTTATAAGATCAATAAAATCAATTGTTATATTATAAATTTGACCACTTTTAATTTTCAGATTGCTAGTAAAACTAATCTGATCTCTATAATAAAAGTAATCATTACTCTTTAAAAATTTCAATAATCTTTACTTCATGACTTAGTGATAAGAAATGTCAAATTACAAACTATTGACAACTATTATATTGATTTTCTTTTTAAAATAAAAAGATCCAGCGAATTGGAGTGTTAATTTTTAATTTAATAACAAAGCTAATCATTCTCAAGCAATGTGAAGCTGTACGTTAAGCTTGTGAATTGTCATTTTGTCAACCTGTTTTCACGTGCACTTTGATCTCTTCGCTGTGCTTCAAATGGTGAGAATAAAATTGGACGGTACTTCCCACATCATCTATTGTATTTTTAATATATAGGGGTGTTTAGTAAATAATTGTTAGCTGTTAGCTGATTGGGTTAGTGGTTTGAGTATTTGATAACATTAATTGATTGTAGAAAAATGTTTAGTAAATTAGATGTTAGTTGATATTTTATTACATGCAGAATGACTTTCTAAAGAAGTTCATCGAAAAATCAGCTTTTTAAAATTTAACATTTTAAAACAATAAGCTATTACAAAAAATTAATTAATCAAACACTTATATATTAAATGTTTAACAAAGTCAAACAACTAATAATTGTCAAATAAGTCAAAATTGATTGAAATTTATTACTTTTTTTTTCTTTGAATTCTACTGACTCTATTACAATGTAGTATCTATTCATATACTTTCTTTACCTACTGAAACACAAAGAACCAAAAAAACTCACAACCTTTCAAATGAAAGTTCAACCCGAATACCATTAGACCACATAGTCTTGGTTATTACTTTTTTATTAGTTATTATATATGTGATTTATTTTATTGCCCATAAAAAGTAAAATTTATCGTCTCAAAACCTTCATTCCCTTATCCAACAGGATTGTGAAGTATGTCTTTTAATTTAATTTATTTTATTTTATTTTTATTAGGATAATAATATTATATCAATCACTTGTTTTTTAAAGTTATAATTTATGTGTTTTTATAATTAACTAGTAGGTGCACCCGCGCGATGCGCGGCTATATATATATTATGATATATATACAGTATAATATAATTAGATGAACCAATATATAGTTTGAATGCCTAATAGTATGATATATATACAGTATAGAATATAGTTATTATCTGAATACAGTGTGAAATGAAAAGTTGTGATTTTATTAGACATTGATGAAAATAGTAATTTTATTATACATTAAGGGACTCTACCTATATAGTACATAACAGTATGAGGTATAATATAATAAGAATAAGAAACATAATAAGAAACGTATTATTGAAAGAAATTGTTAATTGTTATTATACATTATTGAAAACTTCTTTGTACACAACATTTTTAGTCTTACTAAGATATGGTACACTTTCACCGCAAATCAAAATTTTCAAACCCCTGGGGTTACTAACTCTTGAAACAGCTACGTATAGTTGTCCATGGTTAAAGACCGGTTTTTTCAACAACAACCCAACTTTAGCAAGCGTTTGTCCTTGACTTTTGTTGATTGTCATAGCATAGGATAGCATCAAGGGAAATTGCTTTCGTTGAAATTTGAAAGGCAATTTGGTATCTGACGGTGTAAGAGACATTCTAGGAATCAATACTCTAGTTCCTGCATTTGTACCGCACATGATTTGGCCTTCCAACACATGGTCACCCAACCTTGTAACAATCAACCTTGTACCGTTGCATAATCCTAATGTGTGATCAATATTTCTCAACAGCATAACAGGTGATCCAACTTTCAATGTCAAAGCATGATTTGGTACTCCAGAACATCTCAAGGCATTCAGGAATTCCGGAGTGTGCAAATCTGCTAACATGTCCACATTGGCATCTGACTTACACACAGAATCACAACTCAGGTATGTCTTACCCTCAGAAGGATTATGGTCATTCATGTATTGGTTAACGGCATCTACCACATCCAATGTTGGAGCTAAAATTGCACTATGATTAAGATATGACAAATCGGCAATTCCCATTCGGAAATTGGGGAAAGTGCTATCAACGATTGTAGCAATAGGGTCATCTTCACACTTTAACAACAAATCTTCTGGAATAGTAATCTCTGATTCCCCCTCAAGTTGACACCCAATAATTCCGTCACCTATATTAGCTATCCATTTTGCAAATTCCTCGATCTCCTTGCACTCGGATATAGATTCAACAGTTTTCAAGCGTAGATTCTTAGTTAGCCTCAGGACTTTACAGGATTGCCATAGATAGGATGAGCTAATGCTCGCTCGAACTATATCCGGTCTAGTACCCTTTGGAATGACTGGTAGAATTTGCCTGAAATCGCCACCCAGAACAACTGTTTTACCACCGAATGTCATATCAGAACTCCTTGGATTTACTAACTGCATCAAATCCCGCAAAGTTCGATCCAATGCTTCAAAGCAGAATTTATGCATCATTGGGGCTTCGTCCCATATTATCATCTTTGTTTGCACAAGAAGTTCCGCCAGTTCACTGCCGTTCCGTATGTTGCATGTGGAATCTTCATTAACAGATATCGGTATAGCAAACCGGGAATGTGCCGTACGGCCACCAGGTAATAACAGCGAAGCTATGCCGCTAGAAGCAACATTTAAAACTATTTGACTCTTAGACCTTAATGCGGAAGAAAGTGCTCGCCACAAGAAAGTCTTACCTGTCCCTCCATAACCCGAAACGAAGAATAACCCACCTTCCTGGCGATCCACGTCAGTTAAAACTTCATTGTATATTGCCTTTTGTTCGTCTGTTAACTGCCTTACCAATTCTTGGTTCTCTTTCTCCTGTTCCCCACGATCGTATGCTAATTCTTCTTGAATCAACCTATTTGCAATAATATGGAACGCACCAAAATTGGCCGTTGGCATCTCAGGATAGTCCTTCAAACTCTTACCATGATTAGATAATAGGTTCTCAATCTGAACTAAAGCAAAGTTCATTTTGTGGGAATCGGTCAACACAAAATCTGCATAAAAATATATAAAAATTTGTTGTTATAACCAAAATACTTTAAACTTGACTTAATACTCTTAAAAAAAATGTACGATTACCTCTGTTCTGCAGTTGTGAACGGATTTTGTATTGGGCATCGTCTGATAGATGTTGCCAAACGGCATGCCAAACTATTTCCAGTTTCCCCATGCAACTGCTCATTAGTAATGTCACGAACAATCTCCTCAATTGATCAGCTGACGCCCAACTACTGGCTTCATCTATTGCATCAACATATTCGTTGTCATCATCAACTAAACCCCTTGCATAACACGCATCTCGAAATGAGTCATATTGGACTCCATTTACAGTCCTAATATCTTCGTAACTTTTAGGGCCGCGTACTTTGTTCAACAAACACCTCAAATAGAAGATTTCACCCGTAGCTGGAGGGACATAGAATATACGTCCTATGGAGAACCCTTTCTTTCGTGGCTGCCATTTTCTAAGGTCTTTCTTCCAAACGAATCTTGTTGGCATCTCAACATAAGTAAGCTCTCTGGCATTGGGGTATGTTTTATTAGCTTCGAACCATTCTAAGAACATGCTCTGTGCTATCGTAGGTCTATTCACAATGTTCTCAACTGCATCATCATCTGCAAATATCACACTCTGTTGATTAGGAAGGTGAAAGCTTAACCTCTCTACCGAAGGCGCACGAAGTTGTATATCAAAACCAAATAGACGCCAGACAGCTTCACACGGGGATATGTACCTACAGTCATAGTACATATTTATCTCATCTACTGCTTTGCCATTCTCGTCATCATTGCCTGTTTTGTAAAATTCGGCTGTTACTCGATCATGACCCTTGTTAACATACTTGAACAGGTACTTTATTGACCTTGATTGGTTGCACCACTCGACATTTATATGAGCCTTGTACTTGAGCAATAAATATCTATTGTGCGGTACCACATACCTGTTGTCCAAGGCGATCCCGTTCTTTGTAACTACACTGCCATTGTCTCTCCTTCTATATACCGGGTAACCATCGTCATCAAACGTAGAACTATCAACAAATCTCTTAGGAAAATGTTTAGAGCATCGTGCATTTACCATGCAAGGAGAATTTGTCCTGGCTTTTCCACATGGACCATGCATCATAAATTCCTCTACCGCTTGGTAATACTCAGCCTCTTTCTTTTCATCGGGAATCTCTGCTGAAATTATGTTGTCTAGAGTGAGAACTTGCCTAACTTCTTTACTTTTCTCCAGAAAAAGCAATATATGAGCATGCGGAAGACCTCACTTTTGAAACTCAATTGTATATATGACTGTAACAACATACAAATAAACATAATAAGGTTAAGCAATTACATAAAATTTATTTAGATTAATTGATTTAAAATAAAATAACAAAATATTACCTCCGGCAACAGGGCCAAATAGTTGATTCTTTCGACAATCAGCTATCAAAGCATCCAACTTAATCTTAAATAAGCGGCAAATTATGTCCGGCCGGTCTTCTGGCTTCAACCTTTGATCTTTTAAAAAGCGTTGCACCTCAGGCCACTTCGGATTGCATGTAAAGGTTATAAATAAATCTGGGTATCCAATCCATCTACATATTGCCATTGCATCTTGGTAGTTTTGTATCATATATCTAGCACCACCAGTAAAACTCGAAGGTAGTATTATTCTACGACCTTGGGCTGCAGGGCTTAAATCACCCCTCGTCAAAGCATCAGTTAATCCACTGTAACTCTCACACCTTAGGCTTTTTTGGTGTGTCCTTATATAAATTAGCCTTCCAGACTCAACCATTGTGTAGCCATCTACAACGAATTGTTGGAACAACCGCTTTGCAAATAATATGGTACTTGGAGCTGACTGTCTAGATTGTATGCGGTAGTAAAAAAACTCCCTGGGGCTAATCCTTTGTCTACCACCAGAAGAGCGCCTGCCGACTACGTCGGCGAATGCAATGTCCTCCCGATAACCATCTTCGCCATATGGAAACAGAATAGGGTATTGCAGTGGTAAGTATGAAGGATTTAATTCAGTAATCCTCTGTAGTTGGCCACCCTTCGATTGAACAATAATATCACGCTCTTCAATACTGGTATCCAGATCGCCAACGATTAAAGCTGCTACTTCAGACACTTGAGGCACATTATATGTCCTAGCATCTCTAGTTCGTTTTCCCAACAACTTTATTTTTACTTCGGCACATGGATTAATATCCAACTCAGACATAGCCATGCGAAAAGACTTAACCAAGACATTATTTTCATCCAGGTCTTTCTGAATGACATTCACTATTTCTACATGAATGTCATCTTGGTCACCAATACCCCTACAACAACATATACTTGGAATTGATATTTATTTAGATAAAAAATAGTATTCAAATGTGTAATTACGGAAACTTCTTTACCTCACAGCATTTATACGGTTGTTCCTTTCATTTGCCGTGTCGTATATGTATAACTGGGCAAAATGAGGTTCTTTGCCTTGTTCTGGAAGTAAAGTGCCCATTAGGTGGTAGTTTTGACCACTTAATCGAAAAATTGGAGGTGCTCCACCCTTGTTCACGTTCTTGTCAATTTTTCCACCCATGGATGTGAAACAGAACATGTTGTTGTAGGTCCTAATGTTGTGTAAAAATTCTTTTGATAATTCGTCATTGCCGAAAAAGAGATCAAATATACCTTTTGGTGGCAACTTATTATCCGGCAATTTGATCTTCCCATTGTTGCAACACAACATAAACAGTGGCGATGCTTTTGTTGACAAATTCTTCTTCCTTTCTTCAAACCAAAACATAGCCCCACAATGTACGCACTGATTTGTTGCATCGCCAAAATCGCAGTATTGACCTGAAACCAAATATATACAAATTTAACTACTGATTTATATTTGCTGTATATATAAAACAAACAAACATACACACCATTTTGTGGACCAGAGGATGTCCCAATTCCCGAGGTCTGCCGTACAGCGTCACCCGATAAATTTGCATCTGAAATTAAAAAACATTTAAAAATTATTTTTAATATTGAAAGACTGACCATATGTACTTTACTTATATTTGTTTGAAACACCAGAGGGTAGTATTTTAGTACCAGCTATGTTCTGATTTGAGACATCGCTCACCGCATTGTTACTTTCATCTTCAAAGGCAGGTAGCAAGTCTCTGGTTGTTACCTGGTCTTCGACAATTGCATATTTATCTAATGGTTTACGAATTGCAAATTCATCTCCTATTTGTGTATTGGATTGCCGTACTGTACACATACATAATATTAGACCAATTTAAAGAATAACAATATTTAAAGTGACCAAAAATTGAAACCACTACATTTTATGGTACTGTAAAAAAAATAATTTGGTAGCACGTAGTAACATAAAAAGGAAAGAATTCTTAATAATATAAATTAAATACACCTAACATTATAACTTATGGTAACCTAGAATATGAAATAGTAATTTAACTGTATAAGTATTATTATATTTTAGTGGAAAAATCACATGGTAGACCATGGTCCACAATAATATGTTCAACATTAATAGAAATAAAAGAGAAAAAAGTGTATTTCACTAAGTAGAATCTATGGAATTAATTACACATATCAAAACAAATGAAACTATTTTAACAAAAAATTAGAAATTGAGATTCCAAAATAAATCATATATCACCCAAAAATCCACACATACTTATATGTACCATGAGTTACATTATAATTAAATTCACAATGAGTCTATAGCAATTCAGATTAGTGCATTTACCGGTAGTGATGTTACTCAATGGTGTGATATATTCAGAGAAACATCCTCGCTGGGGATTTGTGTAAGGATTAGCTGTCGTACGTTGGTCTTGATCTTGAGCAGTATTATTCGTACAAGATGAGCCACCGAAATGATTTGCTGTGATTTAAAATATACCATCAAATTAAGAACTAATTCCAATAATTATAACTCGAAACAATTCAGTATACATAACCAAATAAAAAATCACTTGCACAACTTTAATACGTAATTGAATATAATTATGTAGACGATGGTCCACATTCTAACTTAAATACAATTCAAGCACGACAAAAACTATATATGACTAAGTACAATGTAATCAATTAATTACATCTAATCAATTAATTACAAATTGATATTAAACATGAATTACATTATAATTATACCATTTAATTTTACAAAAAGCTTCGAACAAATAACAGTATAACGATATTTAAATTAACAATGAATATATAAAAAGGATAGAATTCTTACTATTATAAATTAAATACACGTAACATTATAGTTTATGCTAACCTAGAATATGAAATAGTAATGTAACTGTAAAAACATTATTATATTTTAGTGGAAAAATCACATGGTAGACCATGGTCCACAATAATATGTGCACTGTAAATAAATAGAAATAAAAGAGAAAAGAGTGTAACTCACTAACTAAAATCTATTTAATTAATTACACATATCAAAACAAATTTAACTATTTCAACAAAAAATTAAAAATTTATTTTTAAAAAATAAATCATATATAAGGCAAAAAATAGTGAGATTACAATTCCACACATACTTATATATACCATGAGTTACATTATAATTAAATTCACAATGATTGTATAGCAATTCAACACCGGCCATTTACCGGTAGTGATGTTACTCGATGGTGTGATATATTCAGAGAAACATCCTCGGTGGGGAATTGTGTAAGGATTAGCTGTCGTACGTTGGTCTTGATCTTGAGCAGCATTATTCATAAAAGATGAGTAACCGAAATGATTTGATGTGATTTAAAATATACCATTAACTTAAGAATTAATTCCAATAATTATAACTCGAAACAATTCAATACACATCACAAAAAAAAAAAAAAAAATCAATTGCACAACTTTAATACGTAAACGAATAGAATTATGTACACAATGATCCACATTCTAACTTAAATACAATAGCAATGTAAAACTATATATGATTAAGTAAAATGTAATCAATTAATTACACCTAATCAATTAATTACAAATTGATATTAAACATGAATTACATTATAATTATACTATTTAATTTTACAAACAGCTTCGAACAATTAATAATATAAGGATATTTAAATTAACAATGAATGTATATCAATTCATATATTGGGATTTACCATTACTGATGGTACTGAATGGTGTGATATCTGGAGAGAAACAACATCCCAAAGGATTTTTGGCAGGATGATTTGGCGTATGTTGCTCCTTACCTTGACCAGCATTATTCATTAATGATGATTTGAAAAAACTATTTGCTGTATGAAAAAAAAAAAATTAAAAGAGGATAAAAACAACAGTAAGTAGAACAGTTAACATTTTTTAAATTAATCACACATAATGCTATTCATTACGCTAGCTTATGATTGTAAATTGTAATTGTTTTAAATAAGACTTACATAATAAGTAGACTTATAAAAAGGTTTTATAAATTCACAACGATGCTATATCAATTGAACTTAGTGGATTTACCGTTAGTCACGTTACTCAAGGGTGTGATGTTTTGAGACAAACCCCCTCCAAGAGGAATGCGGGCAGGATTTCTTGTCGGAGACTGTTGTTTTCCTTGATCAGAATTATTCCTTGATAATGAGTTGCCCAATTCATTTTCTGCGAATTAAAATACAACATTAAATTTAATAATAATCCAAATAACTAAAAATCATAAAAATGAATTACACATAATACAACTAACAGTACATACTTAATTTCAAATTGTTAAAGATTTACCGCACAATTATTTACAAATTAGTGGTGTGCCACTAAACACACCTTACGGATAATCTAATTGTGAAATATATATATAACTTGAAATGGTAATGGCTATATAGTAACACTAATTTTATTTGACAAAATCTTAAGTATAACATTGTCCACAATAAATACCATTACAATTGTTAAGATTATATATCTAATTAATTACGCATAACAATTAAAAATTAAATAAATAAATAAACAACTATATACATATCTATATATTTATTTATTATTTTATATCTTTAAACTCTTTAAATATATTATTTTCGGTATATATATAATTTTCCGCATATAATATATATATATATATATATATATATATATATATATATATATATATATATATATATATATATATATATATATATATACAATAATATATCCAATATTATTGTTTATTCTGTCGGAATTTCGAGAGAAGAGGAAGAAGGGTCTACCCTTTTCCTTCTCTTGAGCTCTCCTTGCTCTCATGTCTGAATCGGAGATCTGTTCTTCACCTATCCCTACGATCTTACTATCTTTCTCTGTCAAGCCTAAATCTAGATCAGTCCTAAGTCCTAATCTCCGATTCAACTGTTCTTATTGAACATTTTTCCCGGCGAAATTGGAGTCGGGTCTCGCTTAGCATCGATCCGATTAGCAGTACACAATCCCGATCTTTCCTTTCTGTGAAAGATCTTAATGTTCAACAACGGTAAATCGTGGCAATCGCGTTTCAGTGAAGGTAATTCTCCAATTCTAAGATTATTAATTTGTCAATCTACACTAAATTTGTTTAGGTTTCCTACTTTTCGTTGTTGTTTATTCTAAATTTGATCTACGTTTCTTGATCTATGCATGCATATCAACAATCATAGCTGAATTTTTTTGATTTCAGATTTGTCCTCTTCATAGCCATTAGGGTTCTAAATCGTATTTTTTGTAATGTTGCTCTAAAAACACCAAAGAGAAAGTACTCTTAACTGTTTAACAGTTATTTTCAAAATGGTATAGCTATATTATTATTCACACAAACCCTAACCTGTTTTCGACTTTATCATGTTGTTTTTTATGAACATACTGGAATTTTTTGAGGAGATAGAGAGCATAAACAGAACCGCAGATGAAGAGGATGCTACAATGAAGCTTAATTCGAAGTCTGAAAAAGATAAGTTTTGAACTTACCTTTATTTTCATCACTTGGTTTCCTTTTGATGCCTAAAATTGTTGATTTAGTGATTTTCCTCATTGCTCTGTCTATTGTGTTTACTTGAAAATGTAGATGTGATTTGTGTCTTTACCTTTGGTCTGAAACTGGAGAACTGTGTTGGTAGTTAGATGGGGCAAAGCTGATCATATGGCTTCATTGTACTTTATTTTACTTTTGCCTGGATTTTGAAAATAGGATTGGAACTGAAGAGTTTTCTCTTAATAGTAATGATAGCAGCCCATCAATTGTATTTAATGTTTAGGAAATGTGTTTCTTTTCCTAAGAATGATTAAGTAATACTTAACAGGCCAATATTTCCCACTGATCCAATTTCTTTAGCTGATTTGTAAGAACATGGAACACACACCCAATTACTCACTGGTTCTAGAACTATTCATTTTTCTCTTATGGCAGTGGCTGACATTATTCTTCAAATAAAAGTATATTTTCTTTTTTTTTAGTTAACACACTAATGTTATTTAATTTACCAATCTTGAATTGTAATGCTGTTATGTAATTTCTTTCTAAATGTGCCGGACAATTTATTCAATGTATGTGTTGGTATTATTTATTCTTGACAGAAAGTCTAACTTTTTTTTTATTCTTTTTAGAGCAATTGAAGAGCAGCAAGCAGAAAATAATCACCACGGCCACATCATAAAATAAGTTAAGACTATATCTTGATTGGTGTTACATTAGATGACTTTGCACTGTTATAGTTGCACAGTTTGTAAGACTGTTCTAAGAACATTGAACACATACATGGATTATTTGATTGTACTTAATGATTATTATGAACACATTCTAACCATTTTAATTTTTTTGGGTATTTTTTTAAGAATGGAATAATCCAAGCTATGGAGACATTGAAGAATGGGTCCCAGAAAAGAAAAAAGCAATCAAAGACCACTAAAAGCATTATGGTCATATAAGCAAATAGGTTAACACTTTATCTTTATTTGGCTGTCTTTAGATTAGTTTGTATGCATATACTTGCATAGTTTGTAACTTTGTTCACTTTATGCGAGTGTATGCTTTTCCTCTTATTAAATATCCTGAACACAAATTCTAACAATATTTTTTGTTGTTATTCTTATTAGAATGAAATCATCAAGCTTTGAAGAAATTGAAGAGCAGCTGTCATAAAAAAAACAATCAATCAAAGACCACTAAAAGCAATAGGGTCATACAACGAAATAGGTTAAGACTTCCTCTCTACTTGGCTGTAGTTAGATTAGTTTGTATGGATATACTTGCATAGTTTGTAAGTTTGTTCACTTTAATTTGTAAGGCAATATTGTTCCATCACTGGCCTTTAATTTGGGTGCATTGTTTGGTTCTATATAAGTATAGAATTGAGTAATGTTAGCAAAGTAATGGTAATAGCTTCTTTTTTTTTTCTCTTTGGTCAAAATTGGTATAACTATTCTGTATATATCATAATATTCTTTCACTGTGTTATATTGCAAGCACTAACTTTATTTTGTAAATATTAGACACATTTAGTAAAATGTCCTTGTTCGGGAAATGGTGCTCGACTATCGACCAAATTCCTTTATTTTATTAATAATTGTATTGTCTTTGACATCTTGTTTTTGATGCAGTATTTTAGACTTGGTTCATCTATAAGTGATTTTTTTTTTGCATGATAAACTCTTTTTTAAAAGCAGATTCTCATTTTTTTTTTGTCAAACAGTAATATAAATTCCTTTTTTTTTTTTTTTTACTATTTGCTTAAAACTGGTATAATGTTCTTCTATGTATAAGGAGATTATTTAATTGTTTTTTATTGGCAGAAACAAATTTATTTTATTAATAATAGACACGTTGAAAAATGTCTTTGTGTCACAAATGGTCCTCAAGTATTGACAGTGTTAATCAATTTGTATTTCTATTGTATTTGACATCTGGGCTTTTTTAAATTATTGGATTTTATATTACTATAAAAGTCAGATTTGTGTAGGATAAAAACATTTTTCCGTTTAAAGTAGAATGTTTGTTTTATATCTACATAAAAACAGTAATGTAAATGACTTACAAAATTCTTCTTTTAGTTGCTTTTATCTGATTTCTTTCTAAATGTGGTAGAAAACATTGATGGATTCCAGCTTGAACATCAGTTGTTTGGATAGATGCAAACAGAGTAAAGGAAGATTGTGCAAATAGGTAATTGGAACTAACACCCTTTTTTTACATGACCTAAATGACTTGACAAAATTCTTCTTTTAGTTGCTTTTATCTGATATCTATTTAAATGTGCTAGAACACATTGATGGATTCCAGCTTGAAGAGCAGTTGTTTGGATAGCTGCAAACGGAGTAAAGGAAGATTGTGCAAATAGGTAATTGCAACTAACACCCTTTTTTAAGAACAGTACATTTACATGTAAAGTTTTAGAATTGCATACACAGTCAAGCTGATTGTGCAAATAGGTAATTGAAACAAAATCTATTTTATACGCACTTTATATTTTAGATATAAAGTCTTAGAATTGGGAATAGGAACATACAAAGAACACAACTTCAAAGTCTAAATTGCTTGGCAAACTATTTACATCCTGTGGACCCCTAAAACCGACTTTGCTTGCCAAACTATTTCAATCCTGTTTGCCTTCTAAAAACTTGGCCACCTAGCATGTTTGCTGCAAAACAGGCACAACATATTTAGATATAAAGTCTTAGAGTTGGCAATAGGAACATATGAAAAACACAACTTCAAACTCTAAATTGCTTACCAAAGTATTTCCATCCTGTTTGCCTTCTAAAACCCTAAACCCTAACATCTTTGCTGCAACTTGGACACCTTTCATCCTTTTTCTGAAAAACCTGAAAGGAAAAATAGAAAAACTCCAAAACAGGTTCGAATAGCAGTACATACACCAATTTATTGTACTAAACAGTTAGGAAATTACTAAAAGCATTAGATAAAAGTTATAAACCATCCATAAAACTGAAAATAAAAAATTGTCA